CCAGACCCCCACCAGGAGATTAACTCAAGGTCATAGTCAATCTATACATAAACAGCCTCCAAGGTGGCCCACCCTATTCATCAGGTGGAGCAATAATTTAACGTAGTCATTGGGACAAGTCACGCCCACCAGCACCTCCTTGCCATTCCTGTGTGCCCTTCATACCAAATTTCCTTTTTTAATCTGCTACCCTCAGCCAAGCCTGAGAGCCTGCACTCCATCACAAAGCTGCCCTGCCACTTGGGTTTTGAGATGCAGCAAACCCCACGGTGTGGGAAGTGTCTGTAGCAGAAAGAGAAATTGTATAGGGAGCCTCCAGCAAGCCCCAGAAGAATCACAGTGCAGACCACTTAGGGTTTGGAGTAAAACCATGCCCTTTTCTGCTGTCTGTGGTCTATTTTAAAAGAAAATCTTAATTGCCACTGAGTTCTGGTAGAGTTTAAATATAAAAAAAGGAAACATTAAGTGATGATATAAGCAGATTCTTGCTTGAGGTAGGGTGCTGTCATCTAGATGAGTTTGTGATCACAAAGAACTGTCAACCACAGCAATGGCTAAATTCAGAAGGAAGCTAAGATGTGACACAGGGTACAATAGACTCTGGGACAATCACTTCTTGCATCACTGAGATCCCCTTGTATCCCATGTCTTCTGCTAAATTCACCCTATTAAAGGTGGTAGCCAGCTGCAACCTCTACACAAGATTTAACATATAGGGATTACTGAAACAAGCTACAATCCCACCAGTTGGAACTAGTCCCCAAATGGCAATTGATGTTATCTTTCTCCTCTACTCTGCCTTCCCCTACACCCCCATTCTAGCACTTCCTCTCATCTAGTTTGCAGACAAAACTCCATCTCACCTTCTGCTTCCAGAGAACCTGTCCCTTGACAAGAGTCAAAGTAGCTTGCTCATCATCCAGGCAAGAGAGAGACGGGGGTGGGAGAAGGAGCAGTTTACATGCCCAGGGCGATGGACCAGCCAAGCAAATCTGTGCCCAGAGTTCACCCACCTCACTATCAAAAATGTGTACTCTAGAATTTCACCTGTCCCTTCGCTTTTTAAGGTTTCATTCTTCTGTCAGCTTTCTGGTAAAGTTATATTTAAAGACTGTCAAATACCTCAGATGAACAAAGAAGAAAAAGGGGTTTGCCCATGCCTGGGTCCAGTTAGAAATGCTCGAGCCCCTTCAAATTTGGAGAACGGTTGGTGGTGGCCATCCCACCGGCTCTCAGAAGAGCCAGCCATTCAGGTGAGCATCAGGAATTCCTTCCTGCATGGAGTTTTCCCTCCCCCTTGCATTTGTTTGTGCCTTTGGTTCAGTTATGTGGGAATGCGCCCTCACAACCCCAATCCGAATGTGTCACACTGGCTCCGCACTGTGTTGACAATCCTTCCGGTTCTTCTCTTCCTCCGTACCCCAGGCAAAGTTCAGAAATGTCTGTTACATGTGGATCTTGGTTATTTTCCTAGAAGCTGGGACTTTGTAGTGGTCAAGAGTCTGGGCTTTGGGTTCAGACCATTAGAGCCCCAATTTTGCCATTTACAAGCTGAGTGACACCGGCCGAATTACTTAACCTTTCTACACTTTGGTTTTTTTATCTGTTAGGTGGTGATAATATCTTCCTCACAGGAGGGTTGTTGGGATTAAGCAAGATAATGTAGCATAAGCAGCAAAAACAGAATTTTGTTCATAGCAAGCACTCGGTAAACACATACACACATCCATTTGCATATGAAGAGACTTAGGGCTGCCGCTGAGAGACACAGCTTTCAAAGCCAAGGCCATTCCCACCTCAGGCTCTACCCTGCCCCACCAAGCTAGAGAGAAGGAGAGAGGCTCTGATGCAGGCATTATGCTCACCTGTCAGCTTTACTTGTCAACACGGCCAGAGTGGACCGCTCCTCTGAGACCTGAATTATTACTTTGTGACCCAAGAGCCTTTCCTCTCTCCTCAGTAGCACCATGGCTGCAGAAAACCAGGAATGTGGAAAGAAGGAAGGATGGAAAGGAAGGAAGGAGGGAGGGAGGGAAGGAGAAAGGAAGGAAGAAGAGAGAGAGGGAGGGAAGAAGGGAGAGAGGGAGGGCAGAGGGTCCAGTTTTAAGCCCAGTCGGGAGGAGCAGAGCAGTAGGCATGGGGCCCAGGAAAGGCTCACGGAGCAAAATCTTCATGGTGAGAATCAATAGAAGTGGTAGAGTCATTTAATCCTGGGTTCAAATTCTTGGTGCACCACGTACTTGCTGAGAGAACCTAGTAAGTTGCTTAACCTCTCTGGTTAAGCTTCATTTCTCACCTCTTACCCTCTCCTACTCTACACTTCAGCCACACTGAACACTCAGTTCCTTAAACATGCATTGTAAAAGGAAATAAACAACAAAAAAAAGATTTGTGCTCTTGCCTCTGCGAATTTGCACATAGTGTTCCCTTTACCTGCAGTGACCCTATTCTAGAAGTGCCCCCACCTGATATCAGCCACTGCATTCCCTTTCATCTGGTCAGTTCTGGCTCTTCCTGCAGAGTTCAGCTCAGATGTCACTTTGTTCAGGAAGACTTCCCAACCACTCAGCCTACTGTGTGCTCCCAGGGAAACCTGAATGATCTCAGTCATGGCACTTACCACTTTGTGTGGATACTGGTGATTGCACGCCCCTCCAGACCCACGTGACTTTGTTCACGACTACAGTTTCAGTACCTAATGCCTCACAGGGGCTCGATACATGAGGCTGAATATTATTGAGACTTTGTAAGCTTTAGAGAGTTGGGAAAACCCAGAGTAGACAGTTAATGAATATTGTTGAGAAGAATGGAGTGGAGCGGAGTGGAGCAGGATGGAGTGGAATGGAATGGAATGGAGAAAATGCTGATGCTAGTGATGGTTAGCCGCACTATCTTAAAAGGCCACAAGATGTCAGTGTTTCTACTTGAGAAAAAAAAATAATATGGCAGTCTGAATGAAATTAAAGGCACTCCTCTATGGGATGCCAGAAGTTAATTTAACGTGAATATTGATATAAAAGTAATAAGAGTTTTTGACTGTTTTATTGAATTGAATAGGTAATATATTCACATTGTACAGAATACAAGTATATGGTGGAAAGTAAACTCTTCCTCCCTCCCTACTTCTCTCCCCTCTCCCCTAGCCCCATTCTGCCCAACCCAGGGATAACCATTTATCCTTCCAGAGATATCCTATGTATAAAACCACAAAAAATATTTTTTTTTTTCAAATAACACCAGTGGTTGTACACAACTGTTCTGTGCTTTGATGTTTTTTCTACTTAAAATATCTCAGAGTGTTCCATATTAAAACAGATAGATACCCCATTTTAAAAAATGTTCCATTGTTCAGCTTTACTTTAATATATTTTTGTTCAGCTTTAATATATTTAACCAATCTCCTTTTGATGGGCATTGAGGCTGTTTTTAATCTCTTACTATTACAAATATCTCAAAACATTCCTTATTTTATACATGGGCAAGTATGTCTACATTTTGAATTCTAATATTTTAATATTTTGTCAGCCCTCCATTGAGGTTGTACCCATATATACTCCTACCAACAATATGAGTGTGTTTTTCTTCACAAGCTTGCCGCACAGAGTTATTTTATATGTGCTAATCTGAGGTGAACAATGTCCCATCATAGTTTTTTGAAACAGCTTTATTGAAGTATAATTGATATACAATAAATTTCACATTTAAAGTGTAAATTTGATAAATTTTGACATTTGTACTCCTGTGAAACAATCACCACAATCAACATAATGAATATATCCATCACCCCCAAAAGCTGCCTCATGCCCTTTTACAAACCCTTCTTCCCCCCACCCCTCCCCTGTTATCCCCACTGGTCTGCTTTATGTTACTATATACTGTATTGATTTTTATTTTCTAAAATCTTATATAAGGGGCACAACACAACAGGTAGTCTTTTTGTTTGTCTATTTATTTTTAGATCTGGCTTGCTTCACTCAGCAATTATTTTGAGATTCATCCATGTCATTGTGTCTACCAAGGGCCCCTTTTTATTGCTAAGTAGCACTCCTTAGATGTGATATAAAAGTGAAAAAACAAAGTTCCTGCATCATGGGGCTCATGTTCTACTGGAGAAATACAATAAACAAATATTTAGTATGTCAGGTGGTGATAAGTGCTGTGATGAAAAATTAGGCAGGCTAAGAAATATGGGGTGAGTTGGATTGCTATATGAATTAGAATGGTCAGAGAAGGCTCTGATAATGTGAAGTTTGAGCAGACCCAAAGGACTTGCAAGAGCCAGTATTGGCACAAGAAGAGCTTCTTCTGTCTTTGCCTACCTGTGGGTTCAGTTTGGAAAATAGGGGGTAGGATGAGGGTGCAGGTGTAAATGGAAAGCATAAAGACCTGCCCTTTAGTCCAGGTGATTTGTTGGCTAAGCTTTAGTCCAAGTGACTTGTTGGCTAATCATTTCATCTTTAAGCCTAAATTCCCTCCGCTGTAGACTGGAATAATAGTAATAGTTTTGGTCCAACTTCCTGCTTGGAGCTGCCATGAGAAGCAAATGAGATAGCTCAGGTGAAAGCCCTCTGAAAATAACACAAGAGGGAAAGCAAGACCGGGGTCAACTCTTCAACCGAAATGAAGTCTATGTAGGAAAATAAAAGGTAATCCTATCTGTACAGTGGGAAAATCGGACTAAATATCTAATATTACAGCATGGTCCCTTATGTTCTGCACTGGTTACCCTAGACATCTTTCTGAAAAGCCATCCGGGCTGAAAAGAGAAATAGGCTAAAAGAAATAAGCATACGTTTCATAATAGGCTTCTGCTGAAGATCCATGTTTAATTTACACTAGTCAGAAATTGCGTCGTGTATTTTAACTAAACTAGGAAAAAGGTCTGGGTTTCGAATCTTAAACTCTAATTGCCACGCCCCACCTTGGCATTTTCCTTTTTGCCACGCCCCTCCACCCAAACTCCATTTCCCAACATGCCGCGGACTCCTCTAAGTTGGCCATCATTGTGACGCAATCCCACAGCCTTCTGGGAAGTGTAGTTTACTCGTTCCTCAGCCGCGGAAAGATCTAGGGCCGTGGACTACCACTCCCGTGAGGTAGTACGCAATACCACTGCGTTCGCGGCGCCTTCGAACGCGCCGCGGCAGCCATGTTGGACGTGGCCAGCACAGGGGCCGGCACCAGGGGGTTATCCAAGCAGCTGTCATGATGCTGGGGTCCCTGGTGTTGAGAAGAAAAGTGCTGGCGCCGCGGCTCCTCCTCCGGTTGCTCACGTCCCAATCGCTCCGGAGCCATGGAGGTGCTTCTGGCCAGAGAGTGATCACCGGGGGTTGCGGGGAGCCGCAGTGGCTGAGGGCAGCCGCCGGGGAGCGCCCTGGAACATCACTGGCTTTGGTCCACGGACAAGGGGCAGCCACCGGGGGGTGCCGGGGAGGACGCACCGAGTCCCAGTGCTTCACGGCTGCCACGTGGGGACGCTTTCCTGCCCCCGAAGAAACACTCCCGGGACAGGACAGCTGGAATGGGGTCCCCAACAAGGCCGGACTGGGCATGTGGGCCCTGGCCACAGCGCTGGTGGTTCATTGCTACAGCAAGAGTCCATCCAACAAGGGTGATTATCGGAACAGTCTGGGTTCGAGGCAGGGAGAGGCGGGAGGAGTGTCCCGACTTTGCATCTTTGGAGGGTGGGAGATGCTTATAGATTTAGACCTTTAGAGCCTCAGTCTTGGAGGGAATCAGACATCACCTGGTTCCAGGGGCAAGGTGTTGCACTGGATAGCTCACCGCCTCGGAGTTGTATAACCTCTTATCATAGGTCAGCCTCCCCTCTTTGGACATCACTTTGTCTGTCTGTACAATGGGGGCATTGGACTAAACATCTAATATTACAGCATGATACCTTTATGTTCTAATATTCTGCCTGGTCCAATCCCTTTTTCAAGAGGTCTCCAGGAAACCATGGGGTGTTTTAAGAGCAACCAGTAGATGGTTTAGATGAGTTGCTACCTTAAGGTGGCCTGAGAAAGGACAAGACTTGATTCCAGTGCCAGATTGACCCAGAGAGACTCCTCTCTGGCCTCAGTTTCCTTACTTATATAGTGAAGGATGATTTCTCAGTATTCTCCCAGTACTGTTAATTTGGTCTCTCTTGTAGTTCAGTGGCTTGGGTCTGTCCATCAGTCTCCCAGGGTTTTGCTCTGTCTGGTTTCACTTGCCAGGAGGTGATCTTACCAAATGGGGTAGTTTGCAGGAGAAGGAAGCTGGATCCCTGGAGACCCAAGAGCAACTGGGGGGGATGGCTGATCAAGACTGGCATCTCAGCTGGGTGCATGGAGCTGAGTAGGGGCAGGGAGAGTGGGCAGAGAGCCAGCCATACGTGTGACCTGTGTGAGCCCAGCCACTCGGGTTTCTTAGTTGGTCCTCAAGGGGGAAGACTGAGGCACATTGTCCATAGATTTTATGCATCCCAAGCTCTGAGACTTTGGGGCAAAAGTGGGGACTGTCTTGACTTTCTTTCATTTGTTTATTTAGCAGGATGTGCCCAGCTCTAAAGAAAGGGCTTTGGACTGGGAGTGATGACATTGGGGATCTTGTTTTGGCTCTGTGTCTAACTCCCATTACAATTTGGACTCTTGCTTCCTCAGTTTCCTCATCTACAAAATGAGGGTGTTGAAGTAGACTCTAAGGGATCTTCTAGCTTAGGCATGCCATGATTCTGTAACTTTCAGCATTTTTTTGGATACCCTCTGTATGCCTAGTTTGGGGCTAGGTATGTGAGAAGTCCTAACTTAACACAAAATCAGTCAAGGGAGCAGTGCAGGCAGTTGGCATCTAGGGCTGGTGAGTGGTGCTGACTCTGTGTTCTTGGGGGATCAGAGGGTCAGTAGGGTCAGGAAAGCCCTCCTGGAGGATCGAGGCCACTGGAGGATGTGGAATTCGAACTTGAGTTCTGAAGGATGAGGAAGGAGATGGAGAGTGACATTGTGAGCCCCATGAGAGAAAGGAATGCATCTTATCTTTTTTTTCAGCAACTTTTTTAGCAACTTTCCCTAATACCTAAACATGATTTGTCTACCACGGTGTCTGGAACTTACTACGTACTCAGTAAATGTGTCTTAAATTGGATTGTATTCCATTCAAAGGCTTCAGAGAACAAAGATAACAGTTGCAGGTCACCATGGAATGTGCAAGAACTAACAGAGTGGCCAACTTGGTTGCAAGATGGTGTCTTTGGAATGAGGGGAGAACAGATGGAGTGGGGCCTGGATGCCAGGCAGGAGAGTTGGAATTTCTTCTGTAGGCAGTAGAGAGCCATGGAAGTTCATGAGCAGGGAATGTTCTGAGGCAAGTGTGTTTGGATGAACTGGGGAGAGGTGTCCAAGGTCTTGCTTAAGAGGTTCCTGGGGGCTCCAGACTGGACTTTGTGGCATGTGAACTCCAGCAAGGAGACGAGGGTCTCTTTACTAAAATAGATAATGACCAAACCCGCGATCACTTCCAACCCTTCTGACTTGTCGGCTGCTCTGTTCCCTGACTTAAGAGTTCTGAGCTGAGGCCCTCAGTGCAGTGTATTAGAAACTGAATGCTTTAGGAGCCAGGACGTTCTGATTTCTGCTCATTCCTCACTCTGTAACCTTGCGGAAGCTATTTTTTTTCTGTGAGGGTTGAATGGATACAGCCATCTCTGAGGAATTTGATCCCCTTCCAGCTGGTGGCTGTCTGAGCATGCTTGGAGAACAATTGAGTAGGGTAAGCAGGAAAGACCTGGCCCTGGAGTATAGGCCAGGAGGTGGAGTGGAGGCACCAGTGTGTGAACCATAGAACTGGTTTTCATATGCATGTAAGATGGATCTCTTATATTTTTTGCTCAGATAAGGAAACTGAAGCTCAGGAGATTAGGTGAGCTGGCTAGGTCATACAGCAAGTAAGTGGCAGAGTTGAGACTAGAACCCAGGTCTGCCTGCCTCCAGATCCTGCTCTTTCCAGCCTACTCAAATGCATTCTCTCATGGGTGAGTCTCTTGGCTGGACTGAGAGGTTCCTGAGGCAGGGCTGGGTATGAGTCTGTCCTGTGCCCAACAGTGTAGCTCAGAACCAGGCTGGGCAAGAGGGCTCCACTGGCACTTGGTATTGGGCTGTTTGAAAAAATTGTGCCTCTGCTGTTGACTTTTGAGTTTTCCAAGTCAGGCAGTTTTTCCTCTCTGGCCACAAGGTGGTGCCAACAGCCTGCAGGCTACCCAGGCCAGAGCAGGCTTGGCATTGCTTTTCTGCAAGGCCTGGTGATTCCTAAGGGATCTGAACCCTCTGCTTTGGGTCTCCCTTCACTGGGCTTGGCACTGGGGAGTTCGCAGATTTTTCAACCATCGTTTCATCTCCTCGGCATCCTTGTGAGGCTGGCAGGGCAAGGATTATTGTCTCTGCTTTACTGTCAGGAAGGCTGTGGTTGAGAGGGAAATGGGGCTGCCACAGCTATGTGGTAAGTAGATGGCAGAGTGGGTTGGATCTCAACGCCTAGTGGAGGCTCTCTCCATTGTAAGAGGGGCCCACACCCTTGCCTGCTCCTCCCCATCGTATCTCAGAACTGGACTGAAGAAATGGAGACGGGGGAGAAAGTGGACAAGGTCAGAGAATGGTTAATACAACAATGATAGTAACATAAAACATACTATATCATACAGAGCCTATAGGTTAGGAAGAGCGCATTGAGTGCTTACCATAGATAGGCAAGATGTGGTGCTAGCACTTTACCTGCATCCCCTGAATGATGAGAGGAGTTAAGAGTTTGGGCTCTGTAATAGAAAAATATGGACGTCAGATGGATAACACTGGACACCGTGTGGGGAGGGGATGATTAGCTTTCAGTCGTGGCATCAGTTCACATGTTAAAGCCCATGTTTCTTAAATGCTTCCACTTCCACTGTCTAACTGGGCCCTCCAAGCAGCCATGAGGGGTAGGTCCTGGCCAAGGATCTGACCAGTGTCCCCTCTCTCTTCAGATGCAGCCCTGATGGAAGCTGCTCGTGCCAACAATGTGCAGGAAGTCCACAGGTGAGTGTCAAACTCCAGGCCTTGCTCTCCCCCACAGGAGGGGCTGAGCAGGGTGAGTCCCTTCCTTGTGTGATGACTCTGCCTTGGATGAAATTCTTGCCCTAAGCTGAGAACTGTCCCCTGTGACTTCCCTGTAGTCACAGAGTCACCTGGCTCCCTCAGCCCAGGTCAACCTTAGATATTTTAGGTAGGAAGTCAGCCCCCAAACATCCCTGAATCCTTCAGATATTTTGTTCTTCATAGGGATGGTTTGGAGTCCCCTCCATATCCTGTGAGTTCTTCTCTGAATCTTTAAATTCTTTCTTGTTTCTCTGTGAAAGTGGTCACATGTTATTGCTTGCTGCCTGGATGGGTTGTAGGTGGGCATCCATGGAGGGGCTTGGGGACTTGGGAGGGAGCTGGAAGAGACCATTCTGCCAGGTCTTTGGGGCTAAAAAGCCCTGCCCACAGGGCTGGGGTGACCATCCTTGGCTCCTGCCCAGGAACAGACTGCATTTTCCCAGGCTCACAGGCTCAGCTAGTCCCCTGTGACCACTGGCAGGTTGGATCTGAGGCACGTTTTTGGGCAAGGGCAGGACTCAACTCAGAGCTCAGCCTGGTACCAGGACCAGGGCAGGGTCTGTGTCCAGGATAGATGTTCAGATTGGGGTAGCACAGGGCATCAGTTATGGGACTGTTGGTTAGGGGAAGAGGTTTTATTCTTGGTGAAACTACTGGACCCCACTGGGCCTAACCTTGGCCTCTTTTGGCCCTTTGTATAGAGCTAGGTGGCCACAGGACACCCCCCATCCCTGCCGTCACATCTGCATTTTACACGGGAAGTCAGGTGTTGGGGTGGCTATCCTTGCACCCAGTGCCACAGACCGTTGGTGCTCTTCCCCACTCTAGCTGCCTGAACATACAAAAAAGTGTTGAAAGACAGCCGCAGCCCCACCAAGACTTACTGCTTTGATTCCCTTTCATTTTATCTGCAGCATTATTATTGATTCTCAAGGGTGCTCTTGAGTATTAATGTTCAAGGCTTAGTTTTTAATAAACCACTTTTGGAAGTATGGGCTGGGAGTTGTTTTGTAGCCAAATAAATATAATGGAGCAATAGTTTAATAAACATGCAATGATGCATCTTAAAAACCAAGCACAGATGTCATCTTGTTGTTATAAGAGCCATTCATAACTGCAGGCTGCGTGTGGCATCTTCATTCCCCCAGAAACAGATGAGCCCTGCTTCATTCTGCTGCAGTACAAGGGAGTAAGGGGGTGGAAACTGGCCCTTGCTGACACTGGAATCACCTGTTGTTAACTGCCAAGGGCTGCCAGGCTGCTGCTTTCCCCTGCTAACCCAGTGCTGGCAGTGCGTTTGCAAAGCCAACGATGCTGTGAATCCACCTATCCATCCCCCAGGGAAGGCTGACTTTACCCTATCCCATTGAGCCCCAAGTGTTGATTATTTTAGCTTTTTCATATACATGTTTTTCTAAGAGCAATTAAGCACCTGCCCAAAGAATACAGAAAGTGATTGAGCTTATGGCATATATGTGATTCAGACAATTGTTCTGAACATTCATTCTTGCCTGTGTGGATGGCGTCTGTGGGGGCCTTTCATGAGTACCCCAGGCTCTAGCCTGCTTTTGTCCTGCCTTCTCTTGTCCCACCTCCCTTGGTCAGGATGACTCCATCAGAATTAGGTGAACAAGGCACGGACGCCACCCTCAGTGCCAATCTCATACAGAACCGCAGAGCCAGGGAGCAGGCTGAGCAAAGGCAGGAGGCAGATGGTGGCTGGCTGCTGGGTCTGGAGAACATGTTGATGTTGCCAAGGTGGGATTTGTGCAGGGTGTGGGGAAAGAGGGAAGGTGATTTGAGAGAGGCTGGAATGTGCAAGGCCTGCCTTGCCCAGGGTGAGGAGTTTGAAACTCATATCCGTCCTATAAACAGTGGGGAGATGTGGGACATTTTTGAGCAGGGGAATGACCTAGTTAGGGCTGTGTTTCAGAGGGGTGAAGGCGGATCTGTTAAGAGGTTGTTTCGGTAACATAGATTCAAAGGGATGACGGCCTGAACGAGGACATCCTTCCCTTCCTCTCACCCAAAGCAGTTCTTGCTTATGAAAGAATGAGTGGACCTCTGCTGGGCACTGCAGATGGGGGTGGGAGGGACCCAGGCTCTGAGCCCAAGGAAACGGACATGTAACCCACCAATTATAGTTCTTCCTGCTAACAGAGCCAGGCCTGGGGGGAGGGTGGGGTTGAGGAGAGCCTGACCATTCTTGCTCAAAGGAAACTTTCTCGAATTCCTACAGCAGGTCCTTATTCAGCCCCTCTGTGCTCTAGACTCTGCACAGGTGCTTCATGCTGTTTATTTCTTCCTCTTTGTGTCCTGGCCCTTAGCTCTGCCCAGCAGACCTGCCTATAGCAGGATACAATCCCATTCTCAATTTTTTTTTTTAAATTTACACATATGGTCATGTGTCATTTAATGACAATCACATGTTCTGAGACATGTATAGTTAGGCAATTTTGTCATTCTGTGAACATTATAGAGTGTACTTACACAAACCTAGATGGTATGGCTTACTGCACAGCTAGGCTATAAGGTATAGCCTGTTGTTCTTAGGCTACAAACCTGTACACCATGCAACCATATTGAATACTGTAGGCATCTGTAACACAATGGTAAGTATTTGTGTATCTAGACATATCTAAACACAGAAAAGGTAATGCATTACACTATAATATTAAGATGGCTACAACATCACTAGGTGATAGGAATTTTTCAGCTTCATTATAATCTTATGGGACCATTGTCATAAATGTAGTCTGTCATTGACCAAAACATCATTATGTGGGGCATGACTGACTTATACCATGTATGCAAGTGGTATGGTCAATTATACCAGTATTTAGAACAAAACTCAGACATGCTGCGTAATATTGTCCTCTACCTTTCTTTCCCCCTTCACTTCTCTGGGGCTCTGTGCTGTGCGTGTCTCTTCCTTGATCTCCCTAATTCCTGTCCCCAGCCCCGGGGCCTTGGGAGAACTCTGGATAGTAAAGGACAGTAGCCTGAGGCTCTTCTGCTCAGGGGGAGGTGCTTCATCCTCCTCTTTGTGGACACTGTGGAGCCTGCAGTCTCTGGGCCCTGGATGTGTCCCTTCCACACAGACCACCCTCTGTATTCTGTGCTCATCGCCCTCTGCTTAAATCCCACCAGCCTTCAAGGCTCAGCTCAAGTGCTGCCTCCCTTATGAAGCCTTCCTTGATTCCTCCCGGCTGGGTGCGATCTCCTCTTCCTTTGTCCCCTACCCTTGCTTCTGCCCCATACCTCCCTGGTGGTCTGGGAGGGTATGAGTGTCATCTGGGTGGGGCCATGGTAGCCTATAGCAGGAGGGGACTCCTTGTGGAAGAGAAGTTTGAGGTCAGGTTGGAGAAGCAGGGCTGAATGTCAAGACTGAGGCGGCAGTCATTCCACAAACAGAAAAATCAGTGAGGTTCACACGCTGACTGAATTAGGAAGAGATGATGAATCCTCACAGAGTGTAAGGCCGTCAAGCCAACAGCTCTGGATAGCGGCCCTCCTACGTGGGCGCTGTTGACCTGCATTACGTGGAGCTGGCTCAGCGTGTGTGGTGTGGGCTGCCTGGCTAAAGGTGCAGGGCAGGATCTGCCACTCGTCACACTCTGTTCTTTCTATTAAGAAGTTTGTGGGCTAGACTTCACCTTAACCCACTGGATTGTGTGCCTCCCCAAGGGCAGGGATAAGGTCCATTTCTCCACTGTCTCTTACCCAGTGTCCCAGCACAACCGGAACTTTTTAGTGACTTTTTCTTTCTTTGCTTTTTACTGACTTCTCAGTATAGCTGAAGTGAGCAGTCCAGAGTCTGACCTCCATGCTTCCCTTGACTATGTAAGGTGGAGGCCAGGTCTCCTAGTCTCTCTTTCCTGCTTCCCTGTGTGGCAACCATTTCCTCCCTTTTCCCCTGAGGCACTTACCTTGTAAGTTCATCTAGCTCTGACTCTTCTTCAGAAGTGGAAGCTTGGCCTCTATCCTACCTCTCAGCAGTGTGAACAGGTGGCCCTGCTCCTGGGCTCAGCCCAAACCGGAGCCTGGTGTCTGGACTCAGAAACTGCTCACCTGAAACCTAGGGCACAGGCAGACTGAAGGCACATCTGTCCAGGCTCAGGCTGAGACATGGGAGGAGTTATCAGGACTGGGAAAAGTGAGGCCTCCTGTTCTCCCAGTGGAGATCACATTTCCTTCCGAACAAACTTGGTGAAAGACAACACCCCTACCCATTTCCCTCCTCCCAACAGGGAGCTGGGCCCCTGCTGAGTGCTTAACTCAGTCATTCATTAGCCCAAACAGTCTCTAATGAGGGAAGCCTGGTGGTATCAATCTTGGATCTCAGACTGCCTGCCCTTTCTCTCCAGAATTCATTTGGTCATTTGGCAAGCATTTACTGAGCACTGCCAGAATACTGAGTCCTCTGCTTGGTACAGGGAACACCTGACCAGGCATGATTTCTGCTCATGATGACAGAGTTGGGGGTAGCCTGTGGCGATGGTGTGATCAGTGCTGTAAGACAGGAGAGTACCGGGGCTGCAGGAGCCTAGAAGATGCCCCTAACCAGCCTGGGGGATCAGAGAAAGCCTCCTGGAGGAAATGACACCTGATCAGAGTCTTAAAGTATCAGTATTATTTAGCAAATAGAAGGGGAAGACATTCCAGGCACAAGGGACGACAGGAGTGGTAGCAGAAAGGCAAGGAACAGCCTTGAGGCGGGGGTGAGGGGAGAGGGAAATTATATGATGTTTGGTGTTGCTGGGTCACAGTGTGAGGCCAGTAGGGACTGGAGATAGGTAGAGGGACCTGGTCATGGAGGGCAGTGATTAACTGACTGTCCCTCAGTTGCCCATCTGTCCTGCCTGTGCTCAGTGCCTAGTCCTGAACTAAATTTGGGGGAGGGAAAGTGGGAACAGAAGGGGGAAGAAAAAGCAGTTCCT